ATCAGAACAACTCGGGCACACACACTCTCTCTCCTTTCTAATGATCTAATCCCTTGAGATGTGATCCAACGACTGATATGGATTCAACAAATAGGAAATGGTTGGTAAATATGTAAATGATCCTTTACTTAAATAATTAATTAAATTGTTGAAAATTTGAAATTATGATGACATGTGAAGTAAATTACCATCACCTTTATATCTTGCCAATTTTTTTACAAGTTGGTTACATAAATAACAAATCGTGCAAAATAAAAATCAAATTTTTTTTTAAAAAAAAACATGGGTAATTACATCTATCAAATATATCTTTATGCAAAGAAGGATTGGAACTTCCTAATTAAGTTCATATTAAAAATGATTTTTTATCCATTCTATTTATTTCAAAATAAATATAGTAAACGAATTAATTAATTAATTGTATAATATAATAATCATTTTAAAACAAATCTAATAAATGAAAACTAATTATCATCAAATAAAAATAAAATAAATTTATTGGTTGTGTTCATATGAACCAAGCAACATTTAGGTATTGCACCAATAACCCATAAATAGAAGCACAAGATATTCCATCAATTAATTGCATTAATAATCAATTATTTTAGAGGTTAACTTAAACCCTCTCACTAAAAACGCTAAAAAATTTGCATTTAATAACAAATATATCTTAATTAAGATGCTCAATTATTCATCAATCAGATGTTCTAATCATCCCAACCTCATTTTAGAAGGTGGAATTAATGCAGAAGATTGAAGCATGGGGCAGGTGAGAATTTTGGTGGCTCATTAACCCTAAATCATGCTTTGATGATGAAATAATTAAATGGAGCCTTATAGCTGACATTGCTCTACCTTTATTGGTATGCTTGCAATGCATTGAGTTATAGTTATGTATGGGGCCTAAGGAATGGTGAATTCAAGCTAATCAGATATGTATGGGGCCTAAGGAATGGTGAATTCAAGCAATCAGATATGTATGGGGCCTAAAATGGTGAATTCAAGCTAATCAGATATGTATGGGGCCTAATATATGGCTCATTAACCCTAAAGTTTCCATTAAATCTTCATATTTGGCTTGTATACAAATTTTTAATAGTCATGTTAATTTAATGAATATCTCAATAAGGTGACAAAAAAACTAAAAATTTGACAAAATACATAGCTAATTGCTGTCTGTAAAAGAGGCCAATGATTAAATATATATGATAATATATAATGTAATTATCGTTGAAAATAGATATAAGTTTACATAGTAATAAAATAATATTAAGTCTGTGCTGTTGCTCGACGGTTGGCCCTCCGAATGTGATGTGCGCCTTTCGGGTTATATATATAATGAATAGTATTGAGTACAAGGCTACAAGGATTTATATTTAATTAAAATTATTAATCAAAAAATAAAATTATATTATATTAAATTATAGTTAATTGATATTTTTATTACAAATAATAAGATTTAAATATTGCTCCAATCCTTTAATATTCTATAGCTGCATATCTCGGGTTGTCAAAATGACTTTTTGTTCTCAAATAACTTATGTTTGACTTGTTAAACAAACAAGTCAAACACAAACTCTGATATTTTTTCATTAGTTGAACATGAGCTGAGCCTGACCTCGATCGCATTCAGCTCATTTAGAAGCTCAGCTAGTGCTTTACACCCCTAATAACACACTCTTTAAGCTTTGTTATTAATTTACTTAATGGAGAAGTTTAAAGAGGGCATTAGCATAAGCAGAGAGAGCGAGATACAAAAGGCTAGGTATTTCTTCGGCAAATAATTGCTGAAATTAAGTGGCATTAGTGTCATTGCATCTCATTAAGCGCGCTTATCCTCAGCACCAAACTTATAACTAAGAGATTAAGTTCCTAATTAATGGCAGTAATTAATGGATTAGATTCCGGGCCCTAATTCTTCCCTGCGGTCTTTCACCCACTGTATTTGATCATTTAATGTCCTCTGCCATTGCCAAGCTCCTTAATTGCGGTGCATAATTACGTGCGCCCCACCCCCACCAAATTTCATATTTCTCTCTAAATTCCTTTTTCAATAAACGTACGTCCCGCATAGAAGTTTCTATTTTTAAAAATTCTGAAAATTAAACTTCTATTGGCCCGACCTTATCTATATATTATGTTCATAAATATTATGTGTGCGTACGAAAGAAGAAGGGCGATGTGGGCTGCCGAGAAGCCTGTATGAAGTGCTGTTCTGTTTGAAAATTCGCTCTAAAATATAAATTATTATTATAGCAAAATTTATCTTAAATGCATTGCATTATAATTTGAGTATAAATTTTGGGAGATTATTTTGACGGCAGGCGTGTAAGTGAGTCGAACCACCTCGTAAGTAGGGCTGTAAAAGAGCTGAGCTTGAGCGAGCTCAGGCTTGGCTCGTGTTCGGCTCGTTCGAAATAGCTCGTGTTTGAAATCGGCTCGCGTTCGAAATTGGCTCGTGAACAGTGTGTTCGTGTTCGGCTCGATTTAAATGTTCGTGTTCGTGTTCAGCTCGTGTTCGGCTCGAAATTGGCTCGTTAAAATTAAATTGAATAAAATAGATGTAAATCATGGGATTCAAACCTAGACCAAATATATACAAAATAAGCGACAAACCACTTTATCACTTGAGATGTTATGATTTTAACTTAGATATAAATATATATAATATATTATTATATGATTTTTTTTTTATTTCGAGCTAAAACAAGCCAAACACGAGTGAACAAAGAACTATTCGTGTTCGGCTCGTTTATAATTCGAGCTTTAAAAACTTGTTCGTGGTCGGCTCGTTTACTTAACGAACGAGCCTAAACGAGCCGAACACGAGCTGTTCGCGAACAACGAGCTTTTTTGACAGCCCTACTCGTAAGCCGGCTCTAGCTCTGCTCGATAAGCATCTCGTGAACTAAGCTCGATGAGCTAGCAAGACAACTTCAAGTTAGCCCTGACTCAATCTATTAGCTCGTGGGTGGGGTCGTTTAAAAAAAAAATAATACTAAAATTTAATTAGAACATTTCATCATTAAAGTATTAAAAATATTTTAAAAAAAATAATATCTTGTATGTTATATTAAGTGATATCTTATTTTTTTCACTCATAATTGCTCATTTTATTTGTCATTTTATTATAGTACCAGCTTAAATTAATATTATTTTATCTCTTTTATAATAAGCAAATCGGGTATTTAGCCAGCTCAAACTCATAGATTTAATTAGTTTGGGCTTGAACTCAATAAAATTAATTAAGCTCAAGCTCAAGTTGAGGGTGGCTCGAGCTTTAAATGAGCTTTTGATTACATGCTAATATTTGATTTAGAATTAAAATATTGAAATTTTAATAACTATACTTTGATCAACTAAAATAATTTCAAGGAGATATAGAAATCAAATTTACGACTGTCGAAAAATGATGATGATTGGCATTGGTTTTTATATTAGAAAAAATAGACTATCTAATTAAGAGCCATCCAACGAATTTAATCCTTATAAAAAGTTAGTGAAACATTTGTGAGATATAATTTGAGATTTTCCCTTTTTTATGTTTAAGTTTTTATCTTCATGAGAGCAATCAAATGAGTAAATAATAGGGGAATATACACATTATGAAACTCTAAACCTAATGCATAAAAAATGAGCAATTTAAGATATTTTAATAAGATTCATCTCCTTCATTTGAAATCTTACAAAGAAATGGCAGAGGGCACAATTAAAAGACCTTTATTTGATCAGGATAGCAATAGTAGTTGGTAGTCATAACTCATCTCCATTTTGGGCAATCTCTATATCATATAAAGAGGGTTCAGTCGTGAATTTGGAGTCATAACATAAAGTAGGTGGGAGAAATAAAAGATAATAAATTGTTCTTTTATGTAGAGGTCCATGCTCCTGATTTGTGTACACTTTAATATCTTTGGCCTTAATATAGATTTATTATTTGGTTGTCCATAATTTGTAGATTTGGGATCTAGTTATAACCTTTTTTGGCAAAGCATTGAAGCCCGTTTTTAAATTTTGTGAGTACATCAAAAGATCCTTATAATGCCCTAACTTTACATAGAAAGGAACAAGACAATCTAGCTCTTGAGCTAGCCTAATGAGCCCTCTTAAGCTAAGGCACTCTAGAGTAAACAACAAGAAATCAAAATTTGGATTATTAGATTAATCAAAATTATTTCATATAAGTTCACATATCAAAAGTGGCAATGATAGATCGTGATTTTGCCATAAAAGTAATAATCTTCTTAAGAGCAGTCCAACATTGCAAATGTCATATGAATCACAGCCATCTAAATTAAAAAAAAAAAAAAACATAAAATAGACCATTTTAGTTAAAATATTTATTTCATTGAGATTAATCTAATGATACAAAATCACTCTTGAATCAAATGCTCGTAGGGGGCTTTTAAAATCATAAAATTTTAGATCTATTTGGATGAAACACTCAAAATTAAATAAATTTTATTATAATTCAACATGCAAAATTGTTAATTACTAAAGAAAAGTGTTTAGTAGACCAGGCTCCTCTATAAGCCAAATATGTAACAAAAACCACCCATAATAGGTCACCACTGCATCATCAAGTTTGGCCATCTCGAACTATCAAACTTGATTTATCAATTGTCATTCCAATCAGCTCATTGCCATAAAATGTTTCTATGTTGAATGATTTTATAATGTAGATGATATCATCATCACCATCGTGATACATTACATTAATTTTCAATATAATTTCATAAAATTTAAATTCGATCAAATCTCAATAACTTTACAAAAATTAATGAATGTATGACTTAATAATTTATATAAAAAAATAAATAATTTTGCAATATAATCCTTCATTAATACATGAATTTGTTAATTCATCTAAACTAATTGGATGTTACTCATAAAAATTAAGAAAATGATGATCAAATATATTTACCATTTATTAGTGTAGATCCATCCTAGAATCCATGCATATAAAAAAAAAAATGGTAAACATTAAAGTTCATCTCATCAAACCCCTCATGATATTCATTTATTATTGAATGAAGAGCAATGAAGAATGCCTCAACCAAAAAGCCTTTGTAACTTCAACGCTGGTACTTCCCCCTCTGCATTAAATGACTAAACTGCCCCCACACTCATCCAATTTCAATGACAGAAATAACACCATTTTTACAAAATTTAAACCTTTAAATTACACATCTGCCCTTCTCTCGCTGTCTGGCTAGATTTCCTCGTCCCCAAAAGCCCTTATTTATTCCCGCGACCCTTTCAGTAACCCTCTACAGCTCTTCGTCTTCTTCCTCTCCCTCTGCTCTTCGTGAAATAAGCAAATCCTAGCTTCAGGAGCGTTAATGGCCGCCGACGTGACTTCGATCGTGCGAATCATGGAGGTGGGGAGAGAGGATGCTGATGGGAAGCGAAGGGGACTCTTGACACGTGATCTCCTCGGCGGCGGTGCGGTCGCCGTCGGGCCCTCGACGGAGCTTGATCTTGACCTACAAGTTCCCTCCGGATGGGAGCGCCGCCTCGATCTCAAGGTATTTTTCTTGTTCCCGAATCTCGATCCGACGCCATTCCGATCGAATTGGCATCGAATTCTTGATCGGTTCATTGATTGGAATGAGCATGTTGAACGAATTGAGATTGGATCAAGCAGATTTACAGTCAAATTTGATTCATCTCAAGGTTGAATAGAATGATTTCGAGTTGAAATTGGTTGGTTAATACTCATATAATATCCAATTAAATTTTGTTTCCTCTTGAATTCCTTGCAATGGATTAATTAATTGTTCTTTTGAATTTGAATAACTAGTAAGTTTATTACGGAATAATTCAATTCACTGCAATACAACTTAATTTAAAATTGTAAGAAAATTATAGTTCACATCGGCAATAAGTTTTCTGAGAAGAAATATTCAAGCTACAACTAGTTCTTTTGAAATTACTAAGTAATTATACTATATGCTAATCTTGATACAATTGATATATTTTTTTAAGTAAATCTAGGTCCTACCATGCAATTCTTATGGATTTATATATCTAACACTTATAATTTTATATTTGTATTTATAATATTTTGATATTATAAATTTATGCATTTGATTTTTTAAATTTAATAAGTGATATTTTTGGCCTGATGCTAATAGTTGGAGCACTATGATTTTTATGGATTAAAGTCAAATGCATAAGAATTATGTGGTATGCATCTAAATCCACCGATTTTTAATAAATCAATGCTAAAACTTTTGAATCACGAGCTTGAAGGAGAAAATTAATTGCAAATTATTCTAAAATTTAATCATAATTATACTCCCATAAAATTTTTTAATCCGTTTTATATCAATTTGATGATTTCAATCACTTTTCGAGAAAAAAAAAATTGTAATGCAAATTGATTTTCGAACTTTGTCCAATTTCGGGAGGCAGTTGATCGGCTTCACCATCGCCGGCCACCGTCTCCGGCAGTCTCACCATCTCCCAACATATTACAGATTAACCCTAATTATCCGATCAATTGCTTAATTCCCATTTCTGGATGCAGTCGGGGAAAACATACCTTCACAAAATAAACTCCGATCTACTCTCTCGCAAACTCCACGACCTCAATCTTCCCCCTCCGTCATCTTCACCGACCTCCTTGCCAGAGGATTCAGCCCTCCTCGATCTAAGGCTCGCCGGCGGAGCAATTTCCGGTGAGTACCAAAGCGTATGCACGCTGGAGAAGGTGAAGTCCGCATTGGAGCGCGCGCATCGAAGGCAAGTGGAGGGAGAAAGCGCTTGCCCTTCGGGATCGCCGTCATCGTCGACGACATCTCTGTCGGCGAAGCGACTAGGGTTAGCGGAGGAAGACGACGGTGGTTCAGATTTCACCGGGGGGATGATGGCGGCGGCTTGCCCTAGCTGTCTTTTATACGTGTTGATATCGAAAGCGAATCCGCGGTGTCCGCGGTGCGACTCGCACGTGCCGGTTCCTTTCTTGCCGAAAAAGCCCAGATTTGATCTCAACTCTTCTTATTGAAAAAAAAAAATTGTCTTGTGATTTCTTATCAAATTTTTTTTTTATGTGAGAGGTTTTAAATTTATTTTATTTATTTTGAGATAAATAAGATAAAAATTTTAAATAATTTTTATATATTCATTCATCTCGGAGTAAATTCAATAATCATAAAATTTCTCTTTTGTAAAGTTTGATAAGAATATCTTCAACTTAGTTTTTTTTTTCCGATACGAATACTTTTGTGTTTTGATGTATTGTTCTGAAAATATAAGAGAAATAAAAATAGATTTGTTGGATTGTATTGTTGAAAATCAATATACACATATATATATGTTCTGTTTTATATATATATATATATATATATAGAAGTTTTGGAAATCATTGAATGTGCTTTGAAATGATGTGTTAGATGCACAAACACTTGTAAATAAACATTTAGATGAAAGATTTACATAATTCTTATATATTTAATTAAATCAATAAACATCAACTAAGAATTTTTTTTTTTTTTTTTGCACATTGTAATTCTGTCTTGGTTGCAAAAATCATATCCTCGTATAATAACACATTTGGAATTTGTCCCTTGGTTGTTATATATATGCGACAAGTTGGAGCATCACAAGTGATATTTTCATCCCACATCTTAGCTATACAACATGCTTGAATATATTTATTGTTTGAAATCATAAGTGATATTCTCTTCTCACTTTATATAATTTAAAAAAGAAAAGCCTAAGCTCATGTTAATTGATTTAAATAAATACATTATAATGATGTAAATCTTTCATATGAAACATATTAAAGATATTTATGCAAAAATATTTTAGTAAAAAATATAATAAGTTCTTCTCAAACCAATTTCATGTTTTTGAAATTCAAATAAACTAAATTTTGATCCAAAGTAGAACTAATAACTAAAAAAATTCCAAAACTTGAGAAAATATAGAAGTTCGTACATACAACAATAACAAAAAAAATATATGAAAAATTGCTTTAAGAAAATAAGAAAAAATAAATCCAAAAAAAAACCCCCACATTTTCTGAATAAAAATCATGTACTTGCTAATAATTTCTCGACTTTTTGTGTAATGTAATTGCTCACCACCTTCCTATTTATAGAAGTTAAATGTCATTTCAAAATTAATCCATGGGTGAAAGTTAACCCTGTGAGCTCTCAACCAACACGTCTAATTATTAGGTGCGGAGGGCGCGAGCTGCGCGCGCCCTCTGATCACAGCCGCACATCGCGGTTGTATGACAGTGGTCCCACTGTCACACAGCCGCGATGTGCGGCTGTGATCGGAGGGCGCGTGCAGCTCTGCGTGCACCCTCCCCAATCAATAATCGCTCCAACCAACACCTCATACCAACCTATCATTCCTTATTTAGCAGTAATTGTGAAAAGGTTTTTTTAAAAAAAGTTGAACTGCAGAGATACATTCATTATTCGAAGCCATAAGTGATATTTTCATACCATAATTAAAAAAAAAATGAAAATCTTGATTTTATGTTAATTGATGTAAGTAAATACATTAGAATGATGTAAATTTTTCATATAAATAATTATGGAAATAATTATCCAGGATTTTTTTGGTAAAAATATATATTAAATTCATCTTTTATATAAACAATTTCAAATTTTTGAAAGTCATATTAACTAAATTTTTAATTTAAATCAAACTAAAAACTAATCTAATTTAGAATCTTAAAATAAATCTAATATTTGTACATAAAATAATAACAAAAAGTACATAAAAGAATACTTTAAAATATCAAAAATAGATACATAAAAAAAAAGCTCACCTCTTTAAGGAAAAAATCTCTGTCCTTAGAATTTCTCAACTTCTTGTGTAATGTTATTGCTCATCACCTCCTTATATACGAGTTAAAACTCATTCAAAATTAATCCGTGCGAACAAGTTTACCCGCGACCTCTTTGCCAACATCTCATACCAACCAACCATTCATTATCTAACAATAATTACAATGCCGATTTCCAGATAAAATTGCCTGAAACACTATTTTGGGTGGGAGCATTACAAGTGATGTGTTCATTTCATTTCTTAGTTGCAGGACATGTTCGAAATCAAAAGTGATATTCTCATCCCACTCTATGCACTTAAAATAGCAAAATTCTGAGCTCATGTTAATTGTTTTAAGTACATACATTAGATTAATGTAAATCTTTTATACAAATAATATTGGAAATAATTAGTCATTAATATTTTGGTAAGAAAATATATTAAATTCATTTGAAAGGAATTTCAAGTATTTGAAATTCATATTAACTAAATTTTAATCCAAAGCAACACTAAAAAATATTTAAGTTCAGAACCTTTAAAAAAAAAAAAACTAAATTTTGTACTCTAAATAACAAAAAAAATATATAAAAAATACCTAAAAATTACAAAAATAAACATTAAAAAAAAAAAAACTCACCTCACTGAACATATATCCTTTCACTCCTTATTTATAGGACTTAGAAGCCATTCAAGAGCAATTATTCTGAAACAATTTAAAAAAATATATAAAAAAAAAAACAATTAAAAGCAAAAGTAAAATCTCAAAAATCGATTTTGCGTGGCAGCCAAAATCAAACTAGTGCAAGTCGATTTGTTTTTGGATTCAAATGGGCCATCTATTGGATTTTAGTAGAATGGGCCGACTTTGGCATTCAAGTCCAGCGGGTCTTTCTTTTTCAGCATTTGACTAACCCAGAAGTGCCCAAAAACTGGAAATAAACATTTTTCTATGAGTTCTTAAAATATTTTTATTTTCTTAAAAAAATAAATAAATTAATTTATGTATCGATGATGAGCATCAGCGACAATTCCAATGTTGCAATAAAGTTTGTTAGACGGGCCACGAACTGACACTACGACAATTTATCCACTACGACAATTACTTTTGAGCGATATTCGTCTCCCACTATTCCACTAAACGAAAATTTTTAGCCAACGTTGACGTTCGTTACAATCGATCAAAATCTTACCATCTCCTGAGATGGAGTAATTATTCTATATGGACATCGTATACAGAGATGCATGCGGTGTCAGATCTCTAACTTCGATCACCGCAATTAAATTTTTTTTTAAAAAAAAAGTTGAAAGCGAGACCCACTGAGATACATCTTCACACGGTGAAAATCAGACACCGGATGCATCTCTGCATGTGGTGTCCGTATGAAATAATTTTTCCCTCAAATGAAACCTAAAGGCGACAATGAGCAATATTAAAATTTCCAAAATATTTAAAACAATTAAAAAAAAATAAAATTAACTTTCTTATAAACAATTTGATTTATTCTCAGACCATGAAATTTAATATGTGAAAAAAAAAAATTAAATAAATATATTTAAAAAACAAACGCAAAAATCCCAACGGGGCTTAAAAAATTGTAGAACGAGTGGATGGTATGAGTCGTAGATTTTCAATTTAGCTTCTGACAACGTGTCATTTCTGAAATTTTGAAGATTTAGGGTTTAAATGAATAATCGAACAATAATGAGTTAAAATAAACTCCATAAATGATTATATTAACGACATTTTTTTGGTCGTTTATTTTGAAAAGAGGAATGCAATGAAAAAAACGATAAATAAATTGCATCAAATAACCGATGACTTTTTAAAAACCAATTAAATTAATAATTAATATTTTATTTATATCTATTATTTATATTTTATCAACCATAACTCATATTTTTCTTTTTTATCAAATTCTAAATAATTTGATTGTGGCATGCATAAATACATCCATTTGAGATTAAAAAATATCACCTTAAATTTTATAAATAATAATATTTCAAGTGCTAATATATTATGGATTTAATTGTATATATATAGCTGTAGGGCTGTCAAAATAGCTTGTTGTTCACGAAGAATTTGGGTCCGGCTCGTTAAGTAGCTCGTGTTTGACTCGTTCGTTAAGTAAACATGCCGAACATGAACAAATTTTTAAAGCTCGAATTATAAACGAGCCAAACACGAACAACTCTTTGTTCGCTCGTGTTCGGCTCGTTTTAGCTCGAAATAAGAAAAATATATAATTACTTATATAATAGTATATTACATATACTATTTATATAGTAATATATTATATATATTTATTTCTGAGATTAAAATGTAACTACTCGTTTGGTAATGTGGTTATGCATTTTTTTTGTATTCATTTGGTTCAGGTTCGAATCCAATACTTTACATTTATTTTTTTAATTTAATTTTAAAGAGCCAATTTCGAGTCGAACACGAACATAAATATTTAAATCGGGTCAAACACGAACGCACTGTTCACGAGCCGATTTCGAACACGAGTCAATTTCGAATGAGCCGAACACTAGCCAACCTTCAGCTCGCTCAAGCTCGGCTACTTTGCTGTTCCGTACTAATTTTTTTCTTAATTCCAGCCCTTATTTTCAATAATTTATGTATTTTTTGTTTATTTTTTTATCTGCAGCAGTTATCATATAAGAACGAAAGAATCCCCTGTGCACTCCTCGCTCCCCTGCTTCTCCTCTTCTCTCCTTAGATCTCGAGCGCCAGAAATGAGGAACATAATCCAACGGCTGCTAAAGTTTTTGGACATCACGCGATACGAACGGCTGAAAACGACCAAAATACGCGCTGGCGGCATACGCCGGCGGCTGATACGATGGCGGTCGGTGGTTCCACCGGGACACCTGCCAGTATTTGTTGGGGAGGAGATGGAGTTGTTCGCCGTTGCGGTGGAGCTTCTCGGCCGCCCCGCCTTTACAGAGCTGCTCCGGCGATCGGCGGAGGAGTACGGTTACGAGCACACCGGCGTGCTGCGGATTCCATGCTCCGTTCAGCTATTCTGCAGCGTGCTCCGGTCACTCTCGGGTAAATATTCCGGCGATAAGGGAAAAGAGGGTAGCTTATAAGTGCATGGGCGTTTTTGAAAACGCTGCGGCACCTTTTGGATCGCACATTTTGTCTGTTTATCCGAAAATTCGGTTTCATTTTTAGACTAAAGGCATGCTGTGAGTCGAACTCCGCGGTAGACCCGTGGACCGTGTTTCAGGATAAACTGTTTATCCTGAAACACACAAGCTGCCCCAATTTTTGTTTCTCTGCTCTTCTGTTTGGGTTCCTAATTATCTCGTGATGTTTTAACTAACTTATTTTGAAAATTGTAACGGATATTAAAAATCAAAAGAAAAAAAATTATATAGAAGCATGTGCGTGTGTATATATATTTATCATAATTGGCCATCATGGTCCAACTAAAGGGTAAATTGGGCCAACAGCGGGGTAAATTGGCCCTCAAGCCCATTCTACAATTAATGGATCTCTAAGGAATCGCATGATGCATGCTCCATCGTCAGGCTCAGTCCATACATTCTGCAATTCTGTTAGGATTACCATTCGTTGACTTATTGGGTAGTTTTGTCAAATTAACCTGTTGGCTTGATCTGCTGAAGTGACATCGATCTATACAAAGGGTGTGTGCCAATCTCCTAGCCCATCCAACATCTAGTTGATCTCTAAGGAAGCAAATGATGCAGACCTACTGAGATTATTTAACCTGTCGGATAGTCTCGTGAAGTTAACATGTCGAATTGATATGTAGAAGTGACATATCTATACAACTTCAAGTGTTAATGTGCCACATTCTGCATTCATAGGAGTCAAGAATAGCTCACTCGACAAACTAGTCCACTCAGTTCGTCTAGCTGGTGGTCCTCGTGATTGGCAGGCGGTCGAAGTTAGGATCATAGTTAAAGGGTTGATATTCACCCCTGACCATTTATTAGCGGTTTGATATCCTCGTTACCATATTTTCATAGAGTCATTGTCAACAAGGTTCGTAGTTCGTGGCTCAGGATTTGATTTTTTCCTCTCTATATATTTAGGAAGGGGTCTCTCTCTCTTGGAAGATCAATCAATATTCTCCCATAACATCTCTTCCATTCTTTTGGAGGGGCTCATTTGTGAATTCAAGCTTAGAGAATGCATCCACTCTCGTTCCCTAACCAGCTTCACATATCTCTTGCAGGTTGTATAAACTCACATACAATATGGGACCCTATATATATATATATATTGTCGAATAAATTTAATATATTATCTAATAATTTAGTAATATTATAAGAATTGGGTGGTGAGCATGCAATTGCTTCAATAATTATATGATATTGGAGATTAATACTTGAATACTTGAAATTAATAATATGTCTTAAAAATAGCTCAAGCATATCCTTACAATTATAAAGGTGAAAGTTGCTCCCAAATTTTTGTAGTTATTTTGTGCTCTTTTAAGGAATGATAAGAAAAAGAAGATATGCTCATAAGATTTTGATATATTGATCAAATTAGATGAAATCTCACAATAATAATAATAATAATAATAATAATAATAATAATAATAATAATAATAATAATAATAATAATAATAATAATAATAATAATAATAATAATAATAATAATAATAATAATAATAATAATAATAATAATAATAATAATAATAATAATAATAATAATAAATGAAATTATCGACCTACCTAAGAGCTTTGTCTCTGACTATGAGGTCATAGCCGAGGCCCTCTATATTTGATCATGTGAGTGCACGAGTTTATGATTACATATGAATCAATCTTTGCTGCATATTTAGTCTTGATAAGCTGCAATCTCCTTACAAACGAAGGGGTTTGTGTTTCTCACTCTATAAGAGGTAGAAAATCAATGTGGACCCATGAAGAGATCATGATTAAATTTATCAAATCATCTCTCTGAAAAAATTTAAATAGGCCCTCATTCTTCATTTGAATGAGCGAGGAAAAGAGTAGAGATAATTGATTATTAAAGATTTGAATATTATGTATCTGAAAATGAAATTTTAGTTGTTAAAAATATAAATACATCATAATCGCACGCCATGATTTAAATCTATGAATGAAACTCTTGGACTAAGTTTGGATAGTGATCTGCCATTAATAATTTTTTATCACCAGACACTATTCTTGAAGTATTTTGAGCAAGGAATATTCCAAACACAAATTTACGGTCATCCAAGCTGTAATTTCATGAAAATTATACTCAAACTCAGAATCTTGGCAAGACAAACCCACTGACTCTAAAATCGGTTCAATTTGAGTCTAGTAAAGCCCATACCAAGTCGTTGAAGCACAATTGAAGGCTTTGGATTCTCAATTGAATAGTCAGATAAACTTCAAAATTTACATATTCGATTCGAGTATCTCAGAGAGAGAAATCCAACGAGCCTAAGATCACTTAATTCCGAAGTCACTAAAGTGCCCAAGTACTTAAAAATTTACCTAAGATCAAGGGTTACATTTGCATGAACCGTCTGATCATGTAAATGGGGAAGTTATGCGTTAAAAGACCAAAATGCCCCTCCCCATAAAGCAAGAATTAGGCCCTTTCTCTTTCACTTGGAATGTGTGGAGAAGAAGAAAGAGAAGTGAAATTCCAAAGCCTGAATGGAGAGAAGACCCATCGAGTAGCCATCACCTCTGTAACCTCCAAGCTCCAACCACCATCAAACACGAACCTACATAGTTGCCAACCACCGTCAATTATTGCCTGCCATCACCACCTGTCGTCACTTAACACCAACACTTGGTAACCACTGCTTGCAACCATTATTATCAAATTATAGTTGTTATTGAATTTACTAACACTTGTAATTTTTTTAGCTATATAAGAGCCAGTATAGTTTTTATTGCAAGATTGCAACAACGTTCTTCATGTCATGAGAGAACTATAAATATATAGTTGATTACTTTGATTGGGCTAGTCCCCGTGTTTTTTCCCTTACAAAGTTTTTCCACGTTAAAATTATGTGGCGTCCAATTCTCAATATTTTCTTATTTTTTTGGGTGTTGAATTTATATAAAACACTAAAATGATAAATCACGACTCAATCAATGCCAATATTCAAACACAAAACACATAATTTTCACTCCAATCCAATTGATAAAGCTCACACACACACACACACACACACACACACACACACACACACACACACACACACACACACACACACACACACACACACACACACACACACACACACACACACACACACACACACACACACACACACACATATACATACATATATATATATATATATATATGAAATAATCAATCTAATTTTTGTATTTTTTGCCATTAAATATTTGGCCTATAATTTTTTTTCTCCGAGAGGTGAGCTCAAAGGGCAATATGCATCATTCAAACCCACGATCTCACTATAGAAAATTACATTCTCAACCTCTTTGCCACGAATAAATGCTTATTCGTGGTATGTCTTCAAAAACTATGCTTAAGATATATTAATTTTTTTTTCTAATATAAAGCATAATCGGTCTTCCCTTATCGACAATATCATCAAACCTCTCATTTAAAATTGAAATTTTCAGTTTTAGCCATATAAATTCCAACAAATAAATACCAATAAAAAATATATATATTTCAATAAAGAAATTGTGAATTTTAAATTTGGTCAAATATATAGTATTCAAATCATATCCATCATTAACTTATTTGCTATAACTTGTTTCATAATGTTATTTGCCTTTATAGGCATTTTTGGATGACTCGCAAATTCATCATTTTTTAATCATTTATAGGACTATGGCCTTAGTCCTCTTTATGATGCATATTAACACCCTCTTATCTTGATTATTTGTTTTTTTTTTTATCATTTCTATATTTTGCATGAATAGATTCATTAAAAATTAACTTTTAATTAAACTTATTTCTTATAGGTTTACATATCAAATAATTAACTTTAATTTTTTTTACATTTATGTTATACACATTTCATTTTTAAAGGTTAAGATAATGATATTTTTGACGTGATATGAAAGCTTTGGGTCTTATAAATATGGAAGGCAGAGGTAAGGTATTAGACATGCAAATACATAGAAATTGGGGGACATGTATGCAAATGCGCAAAATTTAAGTCTATTGTCAGTATCATAGAAAAGTGGGGTCATGAAAATAATAAGGTAAATACTTATGGAAATTTTCTAAAATGCAACCTTTCATAATTCAGATAAACTATATTAGCCTTTTTTTCAAAAAAAAAAATATTTAGCTTATGAATAATTTCTAAAGTAAACTTAAATGCTAGTTCTGTATTTTTTTTTTATTATTTTATATAAATTTTTTTTTGGAAATAAAGTTTAGTTTCATATATTATTATTATTGTTGTTATTTGTTAAAAAAATTGTAATTTAATTTTCTAAAAATCTATTTGAACTGCCTATTTGAAAATAACTTATAGAAAATTAATACTTGTATTTAAAATTCAATAATAATTTAATTTAAAAAAAAAACCAGTATAATAATATTTGCTTTTTAGTAATGTAGTAAATGTATTTGCAAATTAGTAATTGTCTTTAAAATCATATTAATTTTTTTTATATAAGAACGTGGCCTAGAGGTGTAAATAACTCGAGCGGGAACGAGCCCAGGCTCGGCTCATGTTTGGTTCGTTAAAAATTATTATTGCTTGTGTTTGACTAATTAATATATCGAGCGCAAAAAAATTGTTCGTATTCAGCTCATTTGCTTAGCAAGCCGAATATGGGCTTTTCACGAACAACGAGTCATTTTGATATCTAGTCACACAACCGTAGGATTTTAAGGATAGGGACTAGATTCAAACCTTATTATCTATGCTAAAATATTGATTTAAACAAAGTTTAATATATTTTTTACTTAATAATTTTAATTGATTGTCAAATTTTTGTCCGCTCGTGTTTGGCTCATTATATATCGAGTACAAAAAAAATATTTATGTTCAGCTTATTTGTTTAGCGAATAAATTGAATACGAGATACTCGCGAGCTATTCAAGAATAACAACTGTTTTGACAGCCCTAACAAGGCCTTCAGCCAGAGAGAAGTTTCTGTTCATATTGCCACTTGCCTACCCAGCTCAGCACAATATTTTTTAGTTCTCAACAACTCCATGTTTTATAAAACAAAGAAGGTAGATTTGCATAAATACCACTCAATTCCTATGTATTTATAGATCTAACACCTACACTTCAATATTTATAAATGTCACCACTTCACAGAAATACATAAAAAGATGTTTTCCAGTTTTTAAAAATTAAAATAGTGATATATTTTTATGTGATATGGAGGATTTTGGGAGGTATAAATGTAAAAATAAAATTTAAGTTTTTATCCCAACGAAGACTAGTACAAACTTTAAATGAATTCGAACGTTACCTCAACGGTCATGGTTTCTGCCTCCAAATACAAACAAAACACCACAGTTCGTTTTTCTGATTTAAGAAACTTGAAGCTCTCCCACTCTAAAGGTATGCCTTGCTTCAGATTCTGCTCTTTAACTATTCAGTTAGCAAAATTCTCTCTGAATCTTCTTCTTCTACCAATAGCTTCAAAAGGAAAGAGGGAATGGGGCTACCCTCTGATCATCTTCTCCATCTTACTTGCTTTCGGCTGCTATTTTCTGGGCCGAGCAAAAGGGAGGCAGGAAATGAGGACCGGTGTCGGAGCACAGATCTATGGCGTGCCGACGATCCCTCCTGGAGCCGTTCGGTCTCCTGCTCGTGAGAATGAGAAGGTGGGATCTGAGAATGTTTGAAGCTTGTATTTTGCTGCAGAGATGATTGATCTCTGTTTTTTGTTCTGTTCTATGTTTTGTTTGGTTTGAGGTGATAAGAGATTGTTTACTGCTATTATTTGGTTTGTTAAATGTGTGTATATAGAGTTGGTGATTGTACTTATTTATATTTCTATGAACATTGACATAAGAATGATGTTGTTGTATATCTGTATGAAAATGTTAGTAGTGGTTTTTCATGGAAAGATGAGAAGCTAAAGGGGCTTTTATTACCAGTAGGATGGAAGAGATGAAGAATGTTGTTTTAAGAATTTCAGAATGAAAACAAATTTTAGTTTCATGTGGTAGATGTTGAGAGAGACTATTCTATTCAGTAATAAGAATAAATTGTGAAAGCAAGGTAAATTTGAGAATAATAATAATAATAATACTGTGAAAACATATAACTTTTGTTTTGCATAAATTGTGAAAAGCAAAGAAACTTGAAAGAAATTTCTGTCATGAACAAATATAAAGCAATTATAAATTTATTGAGCAGAATAACAAAAAAAAAAAAAAAAAATTCAAATAGCTGTTAGATCCTGATTTGTTCGTGGACTTGCGCCCTCAAGCAAAGAATTAGAAAGAAGTAAAATGTTATATATAGAGAGAGATTCATTAGAAGATATATAATGTTGACTCGTATGTTACAAACATTACAATAAAACAAATATGACGCTCAATATCCCAAATTATATCTATTTAATCTTTATTGTCTTTTTTTTTTATCTTGAAGTGGGGAATTACAATATTCATGTATGGCTTACATTGTTTATTGTTCATGTTGAGAAATTAGGTTATATACCATATAGGGACAGATGCTGGAACGAAGCGGAGCGGAGTGGAAGAATCTGTCCAAATCGGGAAGTTGCGTTATGTGGGTTGGGGCTATACGGTACAGGGGTAATTTGAGATTTACATATTGTACTGTAGGGTTTACTCTAGGATTATAAATAAACTTGTTTGTAATCCTAGGTCTTCGAGGGAGCTGAATAGTGTATTTTGTATTCTTTTCTGAATATTGAAAAGGAGGTCGCCGCTCTGCTCCCGAGGACGTAGGCATCTTTGTCGAACCTCGTTAAATCTCTGTGTTCTCCTGGATTTGTGTCATTATTGTTTTTCTTCGCCCTAATTTTCTTAACAGTTCATAGTTTTTTCATTTTGCCAGATCATCTTCACTAACACCAATGCCCTTCGCTAACACCACTGTCTTGCTAACACCAATGTCTTGCTAACACCAATGTCAGCCCAATCAAGACCTATGGCAGAGCAGGCGAGATCATTTAATTAGACTTGGTGTTTTTTAGTATAGGGTTTGTCATTCCCACACCATAGGGTGTATCTTTTTAGTGAATTGATTGTCAATGAACAGATCTAAAAATCAATATAAATTTCTAGAGCATAATATTAAATTTTTTTTAATCCAAATAATTGTTGAACTCAGATTTATTGGTGGACAAACACACCCAAGTAATAAAGAGTTAGAAAGAATAAAATGTTTTGATTCACTAGAAGTTAAATATTGTACAATTTTTGGATTATTAATACATTTTTTGTACATTACAAGATTTTGTATAATGTTTGGATGATTAATACATCTTTTTGTATGTTACAAGAACACCATCATGAGATGACCCTCAATATAATCATGAGAACACCATCATGGATGATTAATACATTTTTTTTGTTACAAGAACACCATCATCTTTGATAACGCCTATCGTAGCCCAATCGATGCTTAAGTGAGTATGGGGGGTATTTCAGTTTTCGTAGATCATCTTTCCGTAGGGGTTTTGTGTTCAGTTTTGTCATTCTAACAGCATCAGACTTATTTCTTGTGTAATCTCAGCAAATTAATCGATAAAAATGAGCAAATTACATACTTTGTCATGTCTCTTGAGCAAATTAACAGTCTTTAATCATACTTACTTGAATTAATCTTACTTTATATTGTTATAATTGACTTATCAACACAAATATAATCTTAAATTAACATTGCAAATATTCATTAAATATTAAATAACTCTATTACCTAAAATTGACCAACCCTTCCCTGCAAAAACTATTCTGCATTTTTCAACGTCTAGGGCGACAGAAACATGGGGAGAGCAGAGGAAAGAGAGTAATGCAGAGATTGATATAACTAAAGGAGAGCAAAGACCAGACGGAAATCGTGTAAAAAATGAGATCTAATAAGCTGATAAGACTCAAAGAGCTGGACATAAAAGAGAGATAGAGAGAGCACTTCTGAGATTTAAATTAAAACAAGGTTCAATCTTTATTAAAATTTGCTGAGAAACAGAGCCTAAGTATAACTTATTACATAAACTTCAAAGCAAAGAAATAGTTAGAAATCCGCAGAACAAAACATTCTGCTATGAATTCCCAAAAACCTCAGAATAATTGAAGAACCCAAAAAACCCTCTGAAAGTCCTAAACAGCCATTATTTAATAACGGCTACAAAGTACAAACCTTATCAATCCCAAAACCCCACAAGCTGCTGCAAAGAAGAACATCAAAACAAAATCTTTCTTCGACCATCTTTTAGCCACGCCAATCCCATTCCCCTTCGCCTCCACCCTCAAGCTCTTCGCCCTTCTCAGCGCATCCACCTCCTTCAACAGATCAAACTCTGCCCCTTTTCTCTTCAGTTCTTCCACACACTTTCCAAGTAACAGGCCATCCTCCTTTTCCCTTTCAAGAAGCTTTTCGAGGTGGCTTTCGGTGTCGGCTTTGTATCTTATTGCCCAAACAATGGTCATGGAACAGAGGAGGGAGCAGAGACAGGGAATCCATGAGCGGCGGCATGCCGTGACTGGTTGCCGGGCTGCCATGGAGAAGAGAAGGATGAGCGAAAGGGAGTGGAATAAGAAGAAGGCGCAGCTGAGGGCTATAATTTCACGGCGGACGGAATCGAGTTGGGATTCTTTGAGGGCGGTGCGGTGGGAGATTAGTTCTTCTTCTTTGAGCCATTGCTTGAGGAGGAGCTTGTGGGTTGGGTTCTCTGCGATTTGGTGGAGAGGGTGAGGAGCTTTGGCGGTGTTGGTTTCTCTGCGAGGAGAAGAGATGGCTGCGGTTGTCGTCATCATCTTTTCTCCCTTTTCTCCGAAAAGATTTGTTTTCTTTCAATGGAGGAAGAGGGGGATGGTTTCGGTAAGTAGATGGAAGAAATGAGGAATAATGAATGGATGGATAACGGTCGAATTTGAAATTGAAATGTCTCATTTTTATTTTAACAGCAACGGTCAAATCAGAGATATAAGGACTAAAATGACCCTGCAGTTCAAGGGAATAACGGAATTGCCTGGAATCCTAAATTTGAATGCACAACGGTCGACTTTCCTGGCTTGATCTGTAAAAAAACCATAAGTTACTGGGTTAACTTGGATTCTAAAAATGGATTTCTCATCTACAATGGGCCAACGTTCGGATTAGGGTTAGCCGGAATCCGATGTAAGCCCTAACTCCTGTTTGGTTGATTTTTGCACTGCTGGATTTTAAGCACTACATTTAAAGCGCATTCTAATCACGATTTCCTCACTCATTGTCACTAGAGCTGTCAAAATGGTTCGTTGTTCGCCGAGGGCGCTTGTGTTGTGCTTGTTTTGGCTCTCGATATATATATATATATATATATATATATATATATATAATATATATATATATATATATTAAAAAAAGAATCGTTATTTGGTCCGGTGGGCCTCAAATAACGCTTCCAACATTTGAGTCGAAACTCATGTGTGCTTTAATTGATCCGAAGAACCCGCGTCACGAGGTTCAAACCCCTGGCCCGAGGGACTTATGCCAGAGGCTGCACCAATAAACGTGCGCGCACGCACATACACACACATACATGCACACACATACATACATACATACATATATACATACATGCACACACATACATACATACATACATATATACATACGCTTGATATAAACAATAAGATTTAAATCAAGTCCCAAACCTTTACACAATAGGGTTGCGTGATTGGTGTTCTCAAAACGATTCTTTGTTCGCGAACAGTTCGTGTTCGGCTCGTTTATATTTCGAACACAAAAGTGTGTTTGAGCACGAAAATGATATTTTTTAACAAGTCGACACCAGCTGAGTCCCGAGTCCCTAGTTAGACACTCCTAATTGTCAAATAAGTAAATTATTCTAATTGTTTATTGTCAGCGCAGATATTGAAGATTTTAATAGTTTTAAGGATCCTATTATTATAGTTAAGTTCTTATGTATAATAATCCTTAAGAAAGTGTAGTGATACTATGAATTATCTTCTAAATGCAATTGTATTTTCTTTACTTGCATTTTAAAAGAGATTAAATATATAAATTATTGTTTTTTCATGATTAAAAACATTTATAATGCATGAAATTTATACTTTGATTCATTTATTTATGTGATTATACGATCAATTTATATATTTTTATAACAAAATGTTTATCCTGTTTAGTTTCAGTTAAAATTAAATTAGTTTAATATTATAATAAAATATATCATACTTTTTATTAATTAGAAAATAATTATGTTGTGTTTGATCATAGAGTATATGTGGGCCCATATCACTTAGATAAAAATACTCACTTTAGTGGATGTTGGATCTTTAATTGTCTAAGAGCCCACATCATTTACATAGAGAGAGAAATAGAGCTTAGAAGAGCACTATTGAGAAGCTCTCATATTTTTATTGTACAAAATAAATAAATACATTGAAAGTACAAATAGGTTTGGTATTCATAAGTGTGTACTGAGTCTCAACCTTGAACTTAAACTTATAGACTTGGGGCGATAGTAATTACCTTATATGATTGAATGCACATGAAGAAGATGATAATAAATGAAAATATATTATGATGTAGCACGTCTTGTGGTTTTGTAAGACGTCCAGGTGTGTTGTAGATTGACTTTGTCTGAGCAGACTAGTTGGTGAATTAGTTAATGACTGTCTCCGAACTCACAAGCTGTTACACAACTATGATCAAGCTATAAATCAACGAATATTGTAGGAGGGTTAAGGAGTGGTCTACCTAGTACCGTGGATGTTGCAGAGATGACAATTAGTTAGCTCTAACTTTGATTCAATGACGAGACATGCTGGCCTATATATAAACTTTGACTAAGTTGATGGCTATATGACCATACATTAACAATGATATTTTTGCAGTCATAAATTAATTTAGTGTGATATTGGCATAATTTTTGTAGATGAAAATTTGTGTAATTATTATTATCATTTTCTTAAGATTGTATTTGCACTTATAATATGAATTATGAAGTATATATGAAATTAAAACATAATTAAATTTCTTTGTCTAATTATTTAAGCATAATAAACATAAAGTATAACAATAGAGATTTCATTTTTATGTTATTTTTATGAAGACTAAAATTTATGAATGATTTTGCGCGCACATGTATTAATTGGTGAAATTACCCATAATATGTGATTGAAAAATCCAATTGATCAAGCATGACTCTCGATTTATGTTTAACAAAAAAAAAAAAAGAATTAAATTCAAAAGCATTCAAGCTTCAATAGCCAAATAAAACATCTGAATAATACGAATCCAATGACACTAAAAGCAATTCCGTTCTAGTTAAATGAGAACAAATCAAATACTTGAAATATGATTGAATGCTTTGAAACATTAATTGAAAGGTTAAATGATGTTCATAATCAAGTTGAGTTTCTCGAAGAGAAGAACCTAGCAAGCCAATGTTCACTCAATTTTGGATGTGATTAAGTTGCTTAAATGCTAAAAATAATAATTAATGATCAAATGAATCAACATATATGGTCTTATGGAGTGTTATGAGATTTTGACTAAATTTATAAAAACACTCCTATCAAAACTTCATAAGTAGGACATCATTTTAAATATGAAAATTGAGTGAGAAAGCTCAAAACTTAGTTTACACTCTTAAAGTGAACAAAAAATTCATGACTATCAGAGATCATCATTGAATACCACTAATAGTTGTTGTAGCCAAGTCATCATTCTTAGATTGTTGTTGTTTGATTTTCATAACTTAGTCAAAACTTTGTAACACACTTAGAGAGAAAAACAAAACTCTCTACTTTGAAATATATAGTGGATTACTTTAACTGTGCTATATCCCATAGTTTTTCCTTTTTTAACAGTTTCTTTATCTCTGTGTGTTAGATATTTGTGCAAACACTAAAACATTCACCTATCACTCTATCACCAAGAATTTCTTAGAACACAATAATCTATTCAAATTTTGTGCCAAAAACAATAATCAAACTCAAAGTTCTACATGAATTGCATTACAATTTTGCTGTACGTGATGAGCCTAATATGTCAACTTTAGGTTAGTTTATATTTCCATGCAATACAAATGATAAAGTTTGAGACTTTTTTGCATTAAAGACCACCAAACACATCTCGGTTGTTTATGTGGACGTTTAAAATTATTTTTAGAAGATTTTGACATAGATGTTGAGTTTTTAATGTCTTTAGAATTGTTATAACAATAACCACACAAATTAATAGTTAGTCAATCATAAATTTGTATAAAAAATAGCCAAATTAGACACATCAAAGTGAATATTATTTTATTTTTATAGTTTAAGGCCTATGTAATGGATGATTACTCGAGTCAAAATTTAATTGTGTGAAAGAATGATGATAGTTATTGTAGTTTATAATTAAAGATTATTGGAGGTTTGTGCTATCATAAGTTTGTATGTTGACATATATTAGAATGTTAGTATTTTGATTGAAATAATATTAAGTAATAAGTTTATTTAAGCAAAGCAATCAAAAGAGAGGACATATACGTGCAAAAAATCACGAATAATGTTGAAGAATTTTTCGTTCGTTACAAGCTCGATTTTCTCTTGTGAAAAAAAAAAAAAATTACTTCAAACATGTTTGGCATTGGCATAAGAAATCAAACTCATAAATTTATTTTACAAACAAGTAATAACCACATATTATTCCAAATATTTTGATTTTACATTTTATTTAAAATCCACCTAATTTTTATATTCTTATAACCAAGTAACCCCTATAATAATTCATTTCTAAGACTAGCTGCATGTCTTTTAAGCTTTGTAGCCTAATAAACAACAAAGATCATCTAAAATTTTTTATTATATATTTTTTTAATATTTTAAAAAATTTTGAGTTTCTTAATCATTAAGAATCACTATTTAATTATAAAACAATCTAAACATGTTTATTAGAAAAAGTTGGTTATTGTAGTTGCGTGTGCGAGAGCTGACATCGGTGGCACCAATTGGCTTAACCCACTTTGACCCAAAATTTGAGTCTATATATTTTAATCTCAACATTTTTTAAGTCCCTAAAATAATTTTTTTATACACTAGACTCAATTTTGAATTTTTTTTAGCTTGATTGAACCTCTATAATCGACTTTGAGCAATTTCAAAATTTTAAATCGAAATTTTTTGATAATATTCTGTCAAATTAATGCACCAACTTAAGAAAATGTGAAAGTAAGAGCTGTAGTATTTATGTAGTTCACTATCTTAAGAGAATGTCTAGATTGATGCTAGAAAATGATCATGTTTGAAATATTTTTGAAATTACAGTTTTTTATGCCATAGTTTTTTTGAAAGCATAACATAAATTTTTTGAAGATACAATTTTTGATGTCTAATATAAGTGTGCAAATGATACATTAGTAGAAAATCCATCCAATGAAGCCTATATCTTGATGCGATATTATAATTGAAGTTTTCAAAGGTAAATTCATTAGCATTCAAACTCTAATTTCAATAGACTTACAACCAAATAGAAACTTTGATTAGGCAATCCCAAAGACATCAAAAGTATAAAACTAAAGTTCAAATAAGCCAAATCAAGTAGTTAAAATGTGATTGAAAATATTGAGATATTAATTGAAGGGTAGAACATTCCATGCATATTATCAAATCAAAGGACTTGAAGAGAGAAATCAAATGAGATTAAAGTCATTTTCTATCTTAAGATTATTAAATCGCTTGAATGGTTATTGAATGATATGTTATCATAATAAATATTAGGGATCAACAAGGAAATATTTTGAGAGTTTTCACCAACAATAACTTGAATGCTACTCTTAAAAAATATGGATGAACTCTCATTCTTAATGTGAAAGAGATCAAACTTTGAAATTGAAAAGAACTTAATTAGAACCTTAAAGAACTCTAGAGATCATTGCAAGTCGCCATTATCATCTGATCAATGCCACTCGGTTGCCATGGTCAGATGATGCAGTGTTAGAAACCCATGCTTGGTGTCGTGCTGCTCATAGCTATACAACTTATTAAGTTTGTTTATATTTCTGCTAATGTCCAATATTTGTAGTCACTAGATCTATGTTCTGATTATTATTGTTTGCTCATCATTATTTGATCTCCCCCTTCACTTCACAATTTTTACCACAATCACAAGTGATCGAGCTTGTAGTGCATTTTCAAATTTGTGGAATAATCTTCTTAGAAAGAGGAGCAAATTATTTTAATGTCAATTTACATAGTAACTTGTTCCCATTATTTTTTCTCTTTTTGAATTTGGATTAAAATCTTTGGCATCTCTTGTGTTCTTTTCATTTAATTGTTTGTATGCGAGTTTTTTTGTGTGAAGTTAGATATAAAAATTTGCTATAAACTTTCTTGCTTGTAGTAATGTTTTAATAATGAATGATTATATTTAATTTTTTATTTTCTTTTAAACTACTAAATTTAATAGTTGCAACATAATTAAAATTGAAAATTAATTGATTTTACTTTCTAATTATGTGATAGAAATTTTGATGAACGACTCATTCCTATATGCATAAACTAGTTGAAAAAAAATGGAAGGACATGTTAAGGTAGCTATATATAGGTTACATTTTTTTTTAATTTAAAAAAAATTTAAGGAATATACATTTTTTCAAGTGAATTATAAAGCATCTTTAGTGAAAGTAAGGCAAGACAAACTTTAGAAGTGAGCATGATTTTCATTAAATTATATTTATTTTGATAGAATATCATCATACATATGTAGTAACAATAATGTGGATAAAAATATAGAAAGTGATTAGAATTTTCTTTTCATTTATCTTATTTTATGTAAATATCAAAATATTTTTATCATTAAATTAAGTAATATTCAAGACTACTCATAATCAATATTAATACAAATATCATATAATAAATTATTAATCTCTTGAAAAACAAAATACACATTATGTTCAATAAAAAAGCATTAATAAGAAAATATAAAATAAAGCCTAAAAATATGAAAACTTAATCCTCTCCAAACCCACCACATCCACGAATCTTCAATCAATATCTCACCTCCATACTCCACACCCATTCCATAAGCTCCCATCCAATCGCCTCCCTCCACCTCACCCTTCCCCTAACCCCACCTTATCTCCACTCCCAAAAACCCTTAACCCTTCTCCCCACACTCATCCCTCCATCTTCTTCGTCCCATCAAGAGAAAGAAGAGGGAGAAGACGAAAATGGCAAGTCTCACTTCCATAACCTCCCCCACCCTCCCCAAACCCCTCCGCTCCAAACCCAAAATCCCATCTTTCTCCCAAAAACCTCACCTTTCCATCTCCTGCTCCTCTGAATCCCCCCATCCCCAACCCTCCCTCCAACCCCTGAAATCCCTC